ATATATATATTACTAACTAAAAGATGGTTTTTTACACTTTACACAAATTCTACAACAAAATTCTTGTTCAGTCTGACCTTGATGGAAAAGATAAATGCTGCCAGTCCAAGACAACAAATGTTTCCGTAGCAGAAGTTGCAAAGGGACCAGATGATGTAGTCTTTCGGAGGCTCTGCAGGGATGTTCACAGTGGTGTACTGAACCACTGTTGGATACCCAGGCTGTCCAGAACCCCCATCAGGTCCCGTCCCCTGCAGTGCAACAGCTTCTGGTGGCCAGGCTCCAGTGGGGTAAGAAGGATTCATTGCTCTGAGCTCAGCTGAAGATTAAAATGAAGTCTGCAGAAATCTGGAGAGCATTTGAAGCGTTGACAGTCACTCATTTACATTTCAGGAAGTTTGAGGTTTACTCCTTTTTTTTCCTTCAATGCACACTAATGAACCAAATGTTGGCTTCCTGCTTTCATTTGCCAACTGTATTTTTCCATTACTTTTTTGAAAATATTCTGTGCTTCCAAAAAATGCTAGTAATTTAAATTGAACCTAATTGGTAATACCTTAATGCAAATTATAGGAACGAAACCGATAGATGTCAGCCTACAAGGTTAGTAAAGACGTGCCTTAATTGTGAGTAGAGGTGTACAAACAGAGTGAAAAACAAATATTTGAAATGCTGTTTTTATTCTTAGTATTTCAGTTCATTTATATAATCACGTTGTTCATGTGTCAGTGGTTCAGTCAAGCATGGGTAAAAATAAAGCAGCCCTCTGCAGTCCTGTCTTCATCAGGCAGGTGCATAGACATGCTTGTTTTTCCCACAGACACTTCAGGAACATGTATATACTGTAGATTTTAATAGAGTTATCACACAGTGGAATGGCCACAAACAACCATTCATAATTAACTAAATCAAAATGCTGACAGATTGTAAGGCTTTATGCAGTTAAATTTAACATGTTTGAAGCTGCAGTTAAGACAGATTAGTCTCCCACCATTTTAATGCTGATTACAAGCTTTATGACAGTTAACTGGCTGATACAAACAAGTGTTTAGAATTGACCCAAACCATCATTAACACTAATTTGACCCCATCTGTGAGAATAATTAGGTCAGGTCTGATCTTGTTCTTGTTAGAGGAAAGTGCTCCTCTGCCCTTATAGCAGCGATGACCCGGAGCTTTAAGGCCTCACATCTTAGAAGAGGCAGCGATGGCAGAGGCTCCTGGACGGCTGAAGACTCGCACATTTGTGTTCTGAGGCAAAGAGACATGAGATCAACATTTTTAAAGTTCAAGGTAAAAACTGCTGGAATTACAATTAAAAACAGCTAATATTACAGATGTGTGCTTTTCCATCCAAGACGTGACTTCACATTGCACTCACTGTTTAAACAGGCTGCTACGGTGGATGCTACTTTTCACAAGTTGTTGGCAATCACAATTACATCCTCACAAAAAAGGAACAATGGGCCTCATGCAAGAACCGTTGGTACGCACAGATTTGTTCTTAAGTTGTGCGTACGAGTGATTTAGGAGAATTTGTG